CTTTTCCTTTTTTTTTTAAAATATATTTTATTGATTCTCCACAGAGAGGAAGGGAGAGAGATAGAGAGTCAGAAACATCGATCAGCTGCCTCCTGCACACTCCCCACCGGGGGTGTGCCCGCAATCCAGGTACATGCCCCTGACCGGAACCGAACCCGGGACCCTTCAGTCCGCAGGCCGACGCTCTATCCACTGAGCCAAACCGGTTTCGGCCATTGATGTTTCTATCTCTCCCTCTCCCTTTCTCTCTGTAATCAATAAAAATATTTTTTAAAAATTATCTTTATCATTGAAAGTTTTATAGATGTCCTCTTTGTATTTTTTCCCATTGACCCCCTCCACCACTGAAAATTATTATTTTTTTAAAAATATATTTTATTGATATTTTACAGAGAGGAAGGGAAAGGGATAGTTAGAAACATCGATGAGAGAGAAACATCCATCAGCTGCCTCCTGCACACCTCCTACTGGGGATGTGCCCGCAACCAAGGTACATGCCCTTGACCAGAATCGAACCTGGGACCTTTCAGTCCACAGGCCAATGCTCTATCCACTGAGCCAAACTGGTTAGGGCTGAAAATTATTTTAAAGGAGAAAAGTAAACAACCAAAAAGCAACAATTATCTCTAAAACCCACTTAATCTTTCTTAATATTTTGATGTATCTAAAGTTTTAAATGTACATTTGAATGTGTGTGTAGTTTTTAAAGTAGCAACATGCTAAATGTGCAGTTTATCTTTTTTTTTAAACAGATATATTGGTGTCATGGCTGGGTAGCTCAGTTGGTCAGAGCATCAAGCAGATACACCCATGTTGCAGGTTCGATCCCTGGTCAGGGTACATACAGAATCAAACAATGAGCCTTACCTGGTGTGGCTCACTTGGTTGACCATAGTCCCAAGCACCAGAAGGTTGCTGGTTGAATTCCCAGTCAGGACACATACCCAGGTTACAAGTTAGATTCCCAGTTGGGGTGCACAGGGAGGCAACTGATCAGTGTTTCTCTCTCAAATGGACTTTTTTCTCTCTCTCCCCCCTTCCTCTCTCAAAAATTTTTTTTAAAAAAAGGATGTAGCCGAAACCGGTTGGGCTCAGTGGATAGAGCGTCGGCTTGCGGACTGAAAGGCGCCAGGTTCGATTCCGGTCAAGGGCATGTACCTGGGTTGCGGGCACATCTCCAGTAGGAGATGTGCAGGAGGCAGCTGATCGATGTTTCTCTCTCATCGATGTTTCTAACTCTCTATCTCTCTCCCTTCCTCTCTGTAAAAAATCAATAAAAATATATTAAAAAAAAGAATAAAAGTAAAAACTTAAAAAAAAAATAAAAAAAGGATGTAAAGAAAAAGCTTTCAAAGTTTTACCATTAAGTAATGTGTTGTAGGATTTTTTTGCAGATACCCTATATTAGATTAATTTTCCTTCTATTCCTGTTATTGAAAAACCCAAGTTAGGTTGCAAGCTGCTCTAAAGCCAATACTCCAGAAACAAGTGTTGGGTGAAAAGGAATTTTTGCTTTATTCAGGAAGACGGCAGGCTAATGTCCAAAGACCATCTCCAAAGTTCCATACCTAGCAGAAGAGTTTTAAAGGAGAGAAAGAAGGAGGGAGAGTTTCAGGAAACTGAGAGAGAAGTCTGTGTTTCTTCAGCCACAAATAACACTTTTTCACATCAGATTTCTGGGCATCAGAAGCTGGTCTCAGCTACCTTGGAAGACATTATTTCCTTCTGCATAAGCTCATAAATACTCATGGCCACCCTGAAAGTATCTCCTGTTTGACAAAGAGACAGGACATCAGCAATTTATAACTACATTCCTGAGAACAAAAGGAGTTGAGCAGGAAAAGCTATTAACATGTGAACAAAGGCCAGAATAAGAATTAAATTATTTAATTCTAGCAGCCAAAAATACCAGGGGCATTAAAATCAAAAGGGGCTCACCTGGCTAGCATGGCTCAGTGGTTGAGTGTGGACCTGTGAACCAGGAGGTCACGGTTCAATTGCCAGTCAGGGCACATGCCCAAGTTGCCGGCTCGATTCCCAGTGTGGGGCATGCAGGAGGCAGCCGATCAATGATTTGCTCTCTTCATTGATGTTTCTCTCCCCCCCACCCTCTGAAATCAATTTGTTTTTTTTGTGTTTTTTTTAATATATATTTTATTGATTTTTTACAGAGAGGAAGGGAGACAGAGAGTTAGAAACATCGATGAGAGAGAAACATCAATCAGCTGCCTCCTGCACACTCCCCACTGGGTATGTGCCCGCAACCAAGGTATATGCCCTTGACCGGAATCAAACCTGGGACCCTTGAGTCTGCAGGCTGACACTCTATCCACTGAGCCAAACCAGTCAGGGCTCTCTGAAATCAATTTGTAAAAAAAAAATTTCACAAGAGGCTTGGTTATAGTCCTGGTTTTCCATGAACACCCATGGTGTATACGTTTTTAATTTAATAATTTCTTGACATTTAAGATTATATTTTCTCTATTAATCAATAATCTTTTTTGTTGTTGTTAATCCTGAGAATATTTTTCCATTGAATTTTAGAGAGTGGAAGGGAGGGAGAGACAGAGAGAAAAGCATCTTTTTGAGACACATGGATTGGTTGCCTCCCACATGCACCTGGACCAGGACTGGGGCAGGCCAAGGCTCTATCCACTGAGCCAAACAGGTTAGAGCAATCAATTACCTTTAATTCTTATGCTAAAACAACCTAACTGGCTCATATTGTATTATTCTATTTATATAATACTAGATTTGGTTAACTCCTTGCTTATGAGTTTCTAGATCTACATTTATGAGCAAAACTGGCATATGATTTTCCTTCCATTTGCTGTTTCTATCAGGTTTTCCTATCAGGGTTACTAGTATACTACGCTTCATAAAAAGTTGAAGTGTTCACCGTTTTTTGTGTTTGTTTGTTTTTAAAGATATTTTTATTGATTTTAGAGAGGAAGGGAGAGAGAGAATCATGGATTTTCTGCCTCCTGCACGCCCCCCAGTGGGGATCAAGCCCACAACCCGGGCATGGGCCCTTGACTGGAATCCAACCTGGACCCTTCCGTCCGCAGGCGGCCGCTCTATCCACTGAGCCAAACCGGCCAGGGCTGTTCACTGTTTTCGTCGCCCATTCCCCATATACCTGGAAGTATTTGATTAAGATGGAAATTCTGTTTTCCTTACGTTTGGCTGGACTTGTCAAAGAGCCAGGGCTGCCTGGAGTCTGCTTTGTGGGGAGATTTTGGACGACTCTTTTAAGATTTTTAGTCGTTTTGCATATGGGCAAAGTACCTCCCTGGACTTCTCCATTCCCGAAAGCTCCGCAGGGACCTCGACCACAGAACTGGGGAAACGCGGCCAAGAGGCGGCCAGGCCCCGCCAGGGAGGAAACCTCAAGATCACTCGGGATGCAGCCAGCCCGCAAAGCCCGTTTCCCCGGAAACCGTATTCTAACGTCACGACGCGGCAGCGTCCCCCTAGGACCGCAACGGAACCTTGCATCTGTGACACGCGTGGATACCCGCGGGTCCTACGTCTGCAGCGGGGCGTGCTTCCGCGCGGGGCCCGGACACCTGCTTCTCCTTCCGGCCTAACTTCCTTTTCTGGCAAGAAGGGACGTCCCCATTTCCGGGGAGCAAGCCGATTCAAGGAAATAGCGCCAGTCTAGGTACCGCTGAAGATGCGGAAGCCTTCACCGGGGCGCACGGGACTCGCTACGAGATTGTAACCTACCACAGGCCCCGCCCCGAGGGCCACGTGACGGCTACGGCTGTGCTATCACGTGACTTTCGGTGGCTCGTGACTGCTCTTTGTAGTAGTAGTTTCGGGCGCCAGTGCCTTTCCGGCCGCTCTGCTTCCCCACCCGCCTTGGTCCCCGTCCCTAGGCGCATGCACAGCACAGGGCTTTCTCCTGCATTGTCGCCCAGACCCCGCTTCCCTTGCTCCCTCCGGTGTGCAGAGACGCGCGCCCAAGCCGTCCGCCCCTCTGGGCTCTGGAGGAGAAGGTTATCTCGGAACTGGCGGCCAGGGGAGCCGGGAACAAGAAGTTTTCGCTGGCGTCTGCTGAGACTTTCGCGGTCGCCACCCAGAGGCCAGCTGGCGCTCCGGTACTGGGTGTGTCTGGTGCTCTTAGTGATGGAGGTGGAGTAGGGACTCGCGTGCAGCATTGTCGCCGTCACCTTTCCCCCTTGGGCTCTTTTGGGAGACGCCCAGGCGTCCCATGAGTATATTCCCACCCGTAGGCAAAGCACAGCCGCTCCCTCCGCCGAGGCATTTCAGGGCGTTATACCACTTTCTGAATTTCTGCCCCGCAGCCTCTGCATTTCAAGCCCCCGCCCCCGGCTTAACTCAAACCTGCCCCATGGTCCATGTGGGCATATCAAATATAAATTGCCCCGGTTTTTTAGGTTTTTAGCTATACAGTTCAAGGAATACCTTCCTCCTTGTCCTCGATTTCCATCCCCACCCCATGGTAGTAGAACTGATCCACCGCTACTAGAGGCTTATTACTGTATCGGGTTTCCCCGTCCGCTCCTCTCAGGATATTTGGCATAATTTCCCCTGGTTACTCTTGTTGAAACACATTCTTCAAAAATATTTTCCTCTACTTACTAGGTTTGCTTGGGTTTTTTGTTTGTTTCTTGCTTTTGTTTGCTTTTTCTTAGAGAAATATCCATGTGAGATGGAAACATCCATTGGCTGCCTCTTGCACGCCCCCTCACCGGGATCCAATGTTAGAGTGTGGACTGAAGGGTCCCAGGTTCCATTCCGATCAGGGGCACATGCCAGGGCTGTGGGCTCAATCCCCAGTGGGGGGCTGTAGGAGGCAACCAGTCAATGATTCTTTCTCATCATTGATGTTTCTATTTCTTTCTATCTTTCTCCCTTCCTCTCTGAAATCAATAAAAATATAAAAAGAAAAAAAAGTGTGTTGTTAATATTGGGAATAAAATCTATAAACAGTGTGGTGCTGGGGGTGGGAACTGCTGGGGAGAGGTCAATGGGGGAAAAAGGAAACATATATAATACTTGATGTGGATGAGAACTAACTGCTGATCATCGAATAAAATTATAAAACTATAAACAAATAAAAAAAAGTATGGATATATCAATATTTATCATATTGGATTTTAAAACAAAAAATTTTAGCCCACTAATACAGAAGCACACATTCCATTAGCTTTCAGAGTAACTAGTGGTAAAATCAACCCTGTTTCCTTAGAAAACTCCACTGTGAATGCGAATGAGTAAGAGAGAAATGGGCAAATAAAGTCTTTGTGTTATTATGAAAATAGTTTTAACCTTGCCAATTTTTGTAAAAAGCTTTGAGAACCACTGCTCAAAAAATAAAAAACACAGTTTAGAAACAGGGCCTTTCACTTCCTTGAACAATTTAGGTAGGAGCCCTGTGGAACCTTGATCAGGATCTAGGCTGCTGGTGCAATATAGACGGTAACCCGTGGAACTTACAAGGTGTGCTCTGGAATGTTGTCCTAAACTCCTCACTGGTATTTGTCCTTTAGTCTGGAGAAGATTCCTGTGTAAAAAATAACAGGTCATACCAAAGTAATTAAATATCAATTGCTGAGAGGGATAAACTTCAATTTAATGGGAAAAACCCCAGTTCCTGAAAAGGTATCAGAATTTCAACAGAAATTTCACAAGCTAAGAACTTGCTTGAAGAGAGCAACCATTAAAATAGGAAAGCATCTCTTTGATGAAGTGGAAAAAATTACTTGTTTTGCTATAAACTAAGAAGGAAATGTAAAGAGATCTATAGAACTGTTTAAGTTCATATGAAAAAATGCATAAGAATTCCATGAACCTTTTGGAGAAAAGATAGCTCTTAATGAAACAAAGCTGCTTGAGAAAGTTAAGTGAGGGCTTCCTATCAGTGACAGAAGAGGAAGTTGGAATGAGCAAAACAAACTTAAGGAAAATCTTAGGCCAGAGGTCTTCAAAAGAGAGGAAATAATCTCCTGATTGTAAGAGTGATGATGCTAAAGTTTTAAATAACTGTCTTGTGCAGATCATTTCTGAAACTGAGGAAAAAAGTAATAGGAAAGTGCTGGAAGCCGTTCCAGCTGGACCCTGGCAGGAAAGTAATTGTATTTTCTGAATTAGACAAGAGAGAGCCAGGACTTCTAAATTGAGAAAGTGAGAGAAGACAGTTTTATCAGTTATCTGTTGCTGTGTAATAAACCACCACAAAACTTGGTGGCTTGCAGCAGTAGTGATTTCTTTCTATCTTTCATGATTACCTGGGTTGGGTAACAGTTTATCTGCTGGTTTTGCCTTAGGCTCACTCTCGCAGCTGCATTCAGTTGTGAGGTGGTTGGGCTGGAATGTCAAGGTGGTCTCACTCACATGTCTGGCAGTTGGTGCTGGCTGTCCTTTGTGAGCCTTGGTTCTTGTACATTTGACCTCCTGCTCTCTGGGCAGCATCGTAAGATAAGAGGGTGAAAGCAGAAGCTGCAGTTCTCTGGCTTTGGAATCACACAACATCTCTCCTGCCACATTCCATTGATAAAACCAAGTCACAAGGTCAGTCTAGATTCAAAAGGTGGGGAAACAGACAACCTCTTGATGGGAGGAAGTGCAAAGTCATATTGCATAGGATCCTGGGAGGAGTTTATGGCCATATTTTGCAATTTATCACAGCAGGAAATGACATGGATGTCACAAAGATCCGAGCTATATTAACATTAGTTCAAGAAGAGAAAGCAGCCTGGCTGGAGTGGCTTAGTTGGTTGAGCTTCATCTGATTGCTAGTTTGATTCCCCGTCAGGACACATAACTGGATTGCACATTTGATCCCTGGTTGTGGCACATACAGAATGCAACCAATCAATGTTTCTCTTTCCTTCCCTCTCACTCTGTCTGAAAATCAATGGAAAAAATATCCTAGGGTGAGGATTAACAAACAAAAACAAAAAAAAAAGAAAAAGTATTTACAACTAAAGAAAGAAAGGGGAAAAAAAGCATTTACAACTTTTAGCTGAGTGCTAAAATGTCAATTATACATGATTGGAAGAGAACCCAAAGTACTTGTTCACTGTAGTCACTGCAAGGCCTCTAGAAAGTGTATTATAAAGTTTCAAGCTAAAAATTGAACTCATTGATCAGACAGAATACCATACTGGAAGAGTTTCAGCAGAAAAAACACTACAAGCAGTCAGCAAAGGAAGGGGAATATTAAAATCAGTGAACTCAATAAAACAGAGATAAACTATAGAATATGAAAATATAAGGCGACATTTTCTTCTGCACAAGAATGCCTATGACAATTGGATCCTTCCTTGTGAAATGAAAGAGCAATTGCTGGAGAGATGAACTAAGCCAACTTTCTGAGACAGAAATTAATAGAAGAACAAATAAAAAAAGTTGCTAGTACTCTGAAAACCAGAAATTGTTAAAGCAACTCCAAGAAGACATTTCATAGTCTCTTTCCAAATAATACATCAATTTCATTTCTAAAATGCCAAATGCTTTGTTTCCTATCGTAATTAGAGTCTTTATAAAAATAGTAATACAATATCTAATGGCTCCCTCAATGAAGGATCTTTTAAATTCATATCTGAGGGTGGATAAGTACAGTACTCCTCAGTAATGAAGAATGGTCTGTGAAATTACAGATACTCTGACCATTAATGGAAGAGATGTGCTTAGACTGGAACCCTGATGCTACTACTAATCAGTATCAACCTCAAATTCCCCCCTTTAGCATCTTGGATGGCTTGGTTCACTCTGGTACAAATGCCAACCCTCCTCTGCACTGTCTATTACAAGCTCACCACCAACAGGACTTCTACCTCCTTCTGGTCAGTTTGGACAACCTTGCTCTCCACTTCATGGGCATAAAACTTTTCTTCCATACCTTGTTCCTGGAAGGATTCCACCTTAGGCACACCTGGCTGCTACCTGAAATAATGGCCTTATTCCATGATTGTTAAATCTGTAAACATAGACCTCCACCTTTTATCTTTCGTAATATGATCTTGATAATTATAAGTAGTGATGCTCTTAATATGTACTTTGATGCACATATACATGCATTTCTGTTGGGTAAATACCTCGGAGAGAAGTTGTTGGGTCACAGGGTATGCATATATTCAACTTTAGCAGATGGTATCAGTTTTCCAAAGAGGTAGTACATAGCTAAAAGATTATATGTATACATATACATATATATGCATATATATACACACACACATATAAAAGCAGCCTTGACTGGCCGGTATGGCCCAGTGGTTTAATGTCCACCTATGAACCAGGAGGTCATGGCTCAATTCCTGGTCAGGGCACATGCCTGGGTTGTGGGCTCAGTGTGGGGTATACAGAAGGCAACCAATCATTGATGCTTCTCTCTCCTTCTCCCTTCCTATTAAAAAGTAAATAAATAAAAGCAGCCTCTTTGTCTTTCATTTAAGATTAACTCATTGAAGACCCCAAAGCAATTTTGTATGGAAAATAAGAGTTAACCTATGAAACACAGATAGTGTGTGTGTGTATCAAAACACCAGTAGAATTTTGTTTTGCTTCTGATTGGGACAAGGGTCACAATAATTTCTCCACCAAATAGACCATTTCTTTTCTACAGGGTGGGGCAAAAGTAGGTTTACAGTTATAACTATTCTTATACTGTTATTTATTACTTATTGTATTATTTTCCATATGGACAAATGTAAACCTACTTTTGTAATTCACTCCCTGTGTAATTCAGAACCCTATTTCCTAGCATATTTCAATGAAAATTGAATGAGTGAATTAATAGGTCTTCTCTAAAGATTGGTTAACCACACACACTTCAATAAAGAGGCAGCCAATCAATGCTTCTCTCTCATCATTGATGTTTCTATTTCTCTCTCCCTCTCCCTTCCTCTCTCTGAAATCAATTAAAACATATTTAAAAAAATACGTTTCATTTTAAAAATTGAGCTATCAGCTGGTAAAGTGTGTATACATTTTTTGGGGGACACCCTGTGAGTTAAAAAATTTACAATTCTTGTCTCTGAGGTGATCTAAACAACAGTTCACATAGCAAGCTTTAGGGGGATTCTATGTATCCATTATACAGCTTTCACCTTATTGCATTTGGAGCTTTTAGTTGGGACTAAATAAATTAATAAACTATATGACTAATTTTTAATTTTCATTGTAACTGATAATATAGAGGTATTTTGATATATTAGGCACACAACACTGTTCTCTGTGCCATGAATCCAGTTGATTTTCTAGTGGGCTCACTTCGTTTTCCAAAACTATGAAGTGCTTCATAGATTCACACAGCGCTTTTCAGCATTTGAAGTGTTTGACATTTTACATTATCTTCTTTGATGCTCAAAAGTGCTTGGAGAAGTCAGCAAGGCTGGTATGTGTTTCTCATTTTTTTTGGTTAAAAAAAGAGACTTGCCTAGCTGGTTTGGCTCAGTGGATAGAGCGTTGGCCTGTGGACTGAAAGGTCTCGGGTTTGATTCTGGTCAAGAGCACATGTCCGGGTTGCGGGCTCAATGCCCAGTAGGGAGCAGGAAGCAGCCAATCAATGATTCTCTCTCATCATTGATGTTTCTATCTCTCCCTCTCCCTTCCTCTCTGAAATAAATTAAAGTATATATATTTTTTAAAAGAGAGACTTTATCTA